ACTAATACATCTTGTACAAAATGAGTTTTAAGTCGTACATCTCCCTCGGCCGGCCCATATACACCTACAAAACTTATATGTACTCTACCCCATAAACCATCCACCCTAATCACTCTCCCCTCCCCCCTTTCACTATGGTGTACTACAAACGGGCTATTTTCCTTTACCAGAATGGCGACGCCTCCTTTTAACCTCGTCGCATATTCCATATACACATCGTAACCATCTATTTCTAACTCGTATCCAATTCTGTAATTGTGTTCTTGGATAAATACCACATCCACATCTAGACGCACCAAAAATTCATTAAACCACTTTCGCTTCCGCTCAGATCTCAAACCGTTAATATTTATTGTCAAAACCTTAAGTCAATTAATGGGATTTTCCTTTGGTTCTAGGTATAGACTTTTCACTTATACATTTTACACCTCTATCCCTCTCCCCTTTTTTGGGAATCACCTTGATAAACTCTTGTTTCGTGGATTCACTGTTCCCTTTCCTCTGTACATCCGCCCAAGACTTTTTCCCTGGCCTTTGGGCAGGAGTAAGCACGTCGTCTGAGTCTGGTGGGGTCGCAGTTCGCTTTCGCGTCCTACCCTCCACCTGCATTGGGATTTCTTTAGTACTATCATGATGCACCTCCACTTCTGCTATATTTACCATCATACCATGCGACACCCAGAACTCATGCTTTCATCCGTCGCTCACCATGATGCTCAACCGATCCCAAATTTGCACCTGGATCTCCACACGGTTGACGATCGACTCGTCTAACAATACATCCAGTGCCTTCACTAAAGACGCCGCTACATCCTCGTCCCCCATAGTGGGCAGAGTCTCTTCAAATACTTTATTTTATGTCAGTGATGGTGATTCTTCTCGCTGTTTTGCATCCTCCAAAGCATTCTCCTGAGCTTTTTCTACCTCTTCACTCCAAGATGTCCGTTGTCGAGACGGTGTGAGCATAAGATGTTCTCGTCCTCACTTCCTCGACCTCTTCCGGTTGTTGCTGTTGCGGATATTTGGAGATTCCCACGACGCTTACCACACTGTGCGCTATGTGGTCATACGATCCACACAGCGACACGTACGACGTTTGCCCCGCATATGTTACATATACTTGAGTTCGAAATGCTTGCAACATAATATAGGACGGTATGGGATGGCGTAAGGTCATTTTGACTGAATATGTTCCCTCCAAACTTCCAGCATAAGGTCCAGCGGCCCACCGACCTGCAGAGGCCATATGAACCGTACCATAATTACGTAGTTCATCTTTTATAACAAATTCATTCGCCTCAAAGGCACATTCCTTATTTTAACCCATGTGTAGTGTCGTGATACATCATGTAGACGTACTGATACAGCTGAATTGACGGCTATAATGGTCTCTTGATACTTATCCACCACCGCTTCATAAACATTTGCTGACGTCATTTTAACGAAGATCCGTGTCGTCCCATTAAGTGCTACACCACATATCTCTTCATTTGCGATACCGTAGGTATCACGGATAATCGCCGGTAGTAACAAGTCCATCGTGGCTCCAGTGACAGCCCCACGGGTCAACTCAACGCAAACAGTGTTGATGCGCCTGTAGCTCTGCAGCGCCATGTTGGTAAATGAGCAGCGCACGTCCTCACTTCTCAATGGTTGTGACGACTTCTGGTAAATTCTCATTAAGGTTTAATGAGGTAAGGGTATAACCCTAATTGTTAGGTTACTTAAGGTATTTCTTAGAACGGTGCATGTAAATATTTTTGTCTGCACTGGCATTATTAATTATTGTAAAAGGAGAGGTTTTGTAGGACATGTTGGATGTGTAACTGGTGGTAATATGGCTATCAGCTATAGTGTTATTTTAAGTACTGGGATTGTGTGATAGAGGAATTTGTTAATATCCAGCATAGTTCTTCTTTTATTAAACTCTTATACATTCTTGTATTTGTTGTAAGTAAATGAGGGGGCAATGAACTGGATTATATGAGAATGTCTTTGTATATAAACTTTCATGTACAATGTAAATAAGTGTGACATTCTTTGGATTATATAGCCTTTTGTGTTATAAGATGCTGGTTGTATTTTATGGATATAATAAAGCCACCTGTATGTTCAGGTGTGGGTTGTCCTTAGTGTAGTTACATGTATGTTCGGCATTTTTTGGGGGGTATCAAACATTTAAAGTTGAACGTGTTTCTTATGTATAAGTTTAGTGCTGGGATAGGGAACGTGGATTTGTTTTGTTTTTAGTATTTAATGGTTAACATGTCTTTGTTTATGTGACGTATGTATAGCATACATGTATAATGTGTATTGTGTTTTTTAAATAAAATATAAAAAAAACTCAATAGCACAAGTACCATGATGTACAACTAACTAGCATAAGTACCATGATGTACAACCCACTAGCACAAGTACCATGATGTACAACTCATTAGCACAAGTACCATGATGTACATCTTAATAGCACGAGTACCATGACGTACAACTCACAAGCACAAATACCATGATGAACAACTCACTAACACGAGTAACAATTCTCTATCACAAGTACCGTTGTATACAACTCTTACACAAGTATCATGATGTACAACCCACTAGCACAAACACCATGGTATAAAACTAACTAGCACAACTACCATGATGTACAACTCACTAGCACAAGTACCTTGGTGCACAACTCTAGGACAAGCACCATGGTGTATAGCTCACTATCACAAGTACCATGGTGTACAACTCACTAGCACAAGTACCATGATGTACTACTGACTAGCACAAGTACCATGATGTACTAATGACTAGTACAAGCACCATGGTGTACAAGTCACTAGCACAAGTACCATGATGTACTACTGACTAGCACAAGTACCATGGTGTACTACTGACTAGTACAAGTACCATGGTGTACAAGTCACTAGCACACTACACATAGTTCACACAGTACATGTGTATGTAAGTAACCTCTAATCACAGACTGTCCATACAACACAGTGTATAATTACGATCACAGACAAACAACATACAACACAGTGTATAGTTACAATCACAGACAAACAACATACAACGCAGTGTGTAGCTGCAAACACAAACAACATACAACACAGTGTGTAGTTACAATCACAGACAAACAACATAAACACAGTGTGTAGTTACAATCACAGATAAACAACATACAACAGTGTGTAGTTATAATCACATACAAACAACATACAACACAGTGTGTAGTTACAATCACAGACAAACAACATACAACACAGTGTGTAGTTACAATCACAGACAAACAACATACAACACAGTGTGTAGTTACAATCACAGACAAACAACATACAACACAGGGGTGTAGTTACAATCACAGACAAACAACATACAACACAGTGTGTAGTTACAATCACAGACAAACAAGATGCAACACAGTGTGTAGTTACAATCACAGACAAACAACATACAACTTGAGCAGAGACTTGAGATAGCAAAGTTGGACAAATACTAATTTTAATCAGCCTGGGATCTTCAGTCAACTTGGCGTCCACCAGGACGCTGACATGTCCCTAGGACAGCTCTCCATCGGGCTGCTAACGGAGTCACTGGCTTCTTGGACCTCTTGGGGAGGGTCGATGGTGCTCGTGCAAGCAGCAGATCCCGGGGCAACTTGCTGCTGTTTGCAATGGCTGTCTACCGAGGAAAGACAGGCACCTAGCAACATCTGTTGTTGGGGCAATGGATGAATTCCCTGCTATGTTTGTTAACTGCTCATTACTCTGTAATTTGTCTATGATTGTAATCATGTGATAACGTGTTTATCATTCATTACCTTTGAAACTTGTTCATGATTTTGACCAGCTCTACCTGGAGCTCATTACCTTTGTAAATTCTCATGATTAATGTGTTTATGATTCATTACCTTTGCAATTATTCATGAGTGTGACCAGCTCTACCTGGAGCTCATTACCTTTGTAACTTGGTCATGATTATGACCAGATCTAGTTCATTACCATTGTAACTTGCTGAGCTATCAAAACTTTGGAGTCCAGTCCCTGGACCAATTATGTACCTCTGTAATCTTTTGACTACCGCCCACAGGATGGGTATGGAGTGCATAATAAACATATTAAACTAACAATTAGAATATAGCAGTAATGTTCTTCCTCAGACTTAGTTCTGACAATAACCAGACATAAAACACCAATAAAGTACAGATGTATATTACAAGATACTTCATTGTTGTATAAATTTTCCTTTAATGGAACTGCCTTCATGTTGGTGAAGGATTAAATGTCTTATTTCCCAGGTGATCTGCGACCCTTACCAGTTTAATAATTAAAATTCCATAAAATTTCTGAAAATTTATGTGGATATTGTTCAATGTTTAACACTATATTGTAAAATTAAGTCACTAGAAGATAAATTTAATGTACCTGAGTCGAATGAAAAGATGAAGACCTTGAGGGTACAGGCAGCCTGAATGTTTTTTTTTTTTTCCTTTGCTCGATTTCGTTGATTTTTTTACCAGAGACTTTAGGCATATTGAGCCTCATGTGGTGAAAGTTGCATCAAGATCGTCCAATAAATAAAGTTATAAAAAATAAAAATGTGAAAAATTGGACATGGCAACACTTATAGCAACGTAAGTCAATATTGACAATCTCGAAATCATTGTTGATAATCACAAATGATAAAGTAATGCCAAATTGACCATCTAATGGATATAAATAATGCAATAACATGTTTTATGGTACCCAAAAAAAATATTATTATGTCTTTACTTTATTTAAAATTTTTTTTTTGCACTTTACATCAATTTATGCAAAATTGAAGGAATTATTACCCAAGACAACTCCATTACAAAGTCAAACAGGCTCCTCTGAATAACTTTTGTAAAATTCAGAATGATCGGTTCATAAATAATGGTTTTACCTCAGAAATATACAAATAAATGCACTTTTGAAAAAAATCAACAAATACATTGAACATTACTATACAGTGGGTAAAAATACTCATAGTGCCTTTATACGTTTATTGAGAGTAGAACTGGTTATATAGACATTATTCCTGAAGTTCCATGAAGATCCCTTTATCCTGAAGTTCTCTGGTGGCCGGCCAATCATAAAAATCCATCCCAATCAATCTGAAAAGAAAGAAACGAATTCTCAAAATCCTATTCCCAGTGATTATTCCCAGTGATTATGTACAGATACATGTAATTGCATCCATATATGATATTTATACACATACCAATATAAAAATATACCAAAAAAACACTAATAATTACGTACCTATGACTGGATGTAGGTGGACACATGATTATCTAATGTCCTCCAGGCAGCAGTGGAGGTAGTAGTTGTGGTAGTAGCAGCCGTGGTGGAGGTGGGCATATTTGCGGGGCTCCTATATTTTGTCTAACTTGTTTCTGAACATGAAATATCCAATAGTTCAGTAGCAGTGAACAAGGACAGGTGTTGAGAGGAGGGAGGTGGTACTAGCATCGTGGCGGCGTCACCAACCACAGCAGCTGCTGCTCACTTTGCTTGTATAGACCTTATCATTGCTTCTATGTGCCTTTTCCTCTTGTGGCTAATGTTCTTGGCAAACTGTTTCTTCTTTGCAGTCATTGTGTACCAAAAATGTATACAATGAAAGGCAAAAAGTAACGTCCTAAGGGTAGTCAGTTGTCAGACAAAGTGACACACACCCCCTCTCTTCAGACTTCCAGTCGGCACTGACTTGAGATGGAGTGAGCAGCTCCTTCTCACAGCTAACCTGATGGTTGCCAGTTACTATTTAGAAGATCTAGCTAAAAAATACACCAAAAAAAAAAGGAAAAAAAAATACCTGTGATACTGTTTTATGAAGCGAGTCGCGCTGGAGCACGTGGTATTGTTATGACGTTAGCTGGGCCGCGCTGATGACGTAGTTACCATTGTTATAATTACGATAGCTTTATATGTAATTATCGTACAGAGACGAGGCGCACACCAAAATGTTGCCAGATCTTTGCTCTATTTTTCGGTAAGATTAACTCATTTTTCATATTTTTTCGATTTTTTTGGTGTATTTAGGCTCAGACTCGGCGGCCTGCGACCTTAATGCTATAACTCGGTGGGATGCTGAGCCTATGCCCTTAATAGATAGCGATCTACACAAATTTTATGACTCTTCCTTCTTTTCAGAGATTGATATTGCACAGGCATATCATCAAGTAATGTTAGATCCTTCTTCTAAGCAGTACACCGCTTTTCCTACACACCAAGGACTGATGCAATATAGAACTATGCCCTTCGGTTTGGTAACTGCCTGTGAGAATTGTCTGCATCGCTATTGGGCCGTGCAGACCCCCTTGCCTGACGCTCCTCAGTAACCTGACAGCAGTGGTACGAGGTGTTGTGCATTCGCTGCCTGGATGAGGTAGACTGCGGTCGTGCTTTGCACCCCTCTACTGTTTCCCAGACGAGCTAATCAGTCAACGACATGGCGCCAGGTGTGCGCAGGAGAGTGAATACTGTGGGCATTGAACTTATTAGTGGGGCTTTAACACCTACGTCAGTCGATGTGTTATTGCCCAAAATTATACGAGAGACATATGGCATCAGAGACGAGGATTTATATGGAGTGGCACTGAACGGTGTATATAGAATTTTCGTGAAAGTGCTAACTGCTCAAGTATACGAGGCTTTGGTTGATCGTTACCAAGATGTCAGCATTAATGTAACACCGGCAGTGAGGGTCAAGTTGATTGATGTATCACGACATTATTCGTGGGTTAAGCTCCGCAACGTGCCTTCTGAGGCTGATGAGGTAGATATTCGAAATGTTTTCAAACGTTATGGAACTGTACATCTGGCCCAACCTGGCAAATGGGTAAAAGGTGCTTACACAGGATTTTCTGAGGGTTCTTTTAATTCAAGATGACGCTTAGGCATCCTATACCCTCGTATGTATATCTCGAAGAGTTTAGAACCCAGGTAAAGGTAGCGTATGCAGGGGCAGAGACGTACGTGCTTACTGTGTGGCGAATTTGACCATATGGCGGCAGACCTGTGGCAAGCGGGAGTATGGCTCCCTGGGCCGGCCAAGGGGCGGAGCACCTGCGCATGAGCACCCGATGCCTAAGAAGAACGGGGGCAAGGAGGGAGGGCGTGGTCGCAGTGGAGTGGAAAGAGGTGTGGCTCCTCCAGTGAATCGGAATGAAGGGGTGATTCCATGAATCACTGGCCCATCAACAGTGGCTTCGGGCCGGCCCAAAGGGGTGAAGCACCTGCGCATGAGCACCCTGGCCGAGGGCCTAAAGAAGAACGGGTGGCAAGAGGAGGGCGTGGTCGCATGAGGAGTGAAGAGGTGGTGGCTCTCCTGGGGAATCGGAAAAGTGGTTGATCCATGAATCGCCTGCCCCATACAACAGTAACCAGGTTGTAAAGTGAGGAGGTACAGGAGGGCGCAGCAGTGAAGGCTATTGGGGAGGAGTTGGAGAAAACGGTGATACAGCTATTGGTACAGTCAACGGAGGTGGAGATTTACAGCGAACAAGGACCCGTGGGATCAGCAGAAGGTGTGTTTGGGGAAGGGGTAGGATCAGGTGGCACCGTGGTGGGCAGTGCGAGTGCCATGGAAGGGCATGGAGGCGGATTAAGGGTGGTAGAGGTGGAAGTCCATTGTGCTGGCTCCCAGGACTCAGATATGGAAACTGAGGGAGCAAACAAGGAAAAGGGCAGCAGCGCAGATTCGGAACGATGTTCTGACGCCGGCGCAAAGGCCGGGGAAAAAGACATGGGGTTTGGTACCCAGAGTGACTCTGCGAGAGGGCCACAACAAAAAGGGGGGGGATGGTTGGGAAGGAGGGGGAGGTCTGTGGCAAAGGCACAGTCCAGGGGAAGGGGTCTGAAAGGGAAGAATCTTGCCCTGAGGCAGGGAAGGAAACCTTAAACTTGGCCTCAGGTGTGTAACAATAAATATTAATGGTCTGTGTGATGGTTTTAAACGGGAGTGCTTCAGGATGTTTTTGAATAGGTACAAGGTTGACGTAGTTTTTTGTGCAGGAGCACATTTTAAGCTTGGTCGTGAATTAGTGGTGCCTGGGTATCAGGCTTATGTTTTGCCGTCTGAGCGTTTAAAAAGGGGAGTGGGTGTGTTAAATCGGGGAGGCGACCCCTTTGTATTGATAGGAAAGAGGGGGGGGGAGGGGGAGGGGGGTATTACGTGGGGAAAGGGATGGTGGATGGGAGAGAGAGTGGCGTTTGTGTGTGTATGCCCCAGCAAAAGTGACGTGAAAGTGAAGATGGATTTTGTGCGGGAGGAGCTCGTGTATTACCTTTCGCAGTTACCATTGTGGCGATTTGGGGGGGTTTGGGAAGGGTGTAATTAAGAGGACAGACGTGGAACCCAGAGGAGCGGGATTTTTTTTTCCAGTCTTGGGGGGCCTGCTTAGAGATCTTCAGTTACGTGATGCTTTCGGGGAGGTCTTTGGGAGGTGGAACAAAACGTTTTATAAAAAAGGGGATATGCGGCTCGTTTGGACAGGTTATAATTATCTCAGAGGGTTTTGGTGAGTCTTTTTAAAACAATTGAGATGGTGTCTTCCGATCATAGGGCGGTAAATTAGTGGAGGGGGGATGGGTTTTTTGGTTTCGTAAGGGCCGGGGAAAAGTTTTTGGGAAAAACTTGAACCCCAATTTTTTTTTGGGGGATAGGGGGGGGGAAAATTGGAACCCGTTTGCAATTTTTTGGGGAAAACAGCTCGGGTGCCACAAAAGGGGACGGGGGACGATGTGGTGGGAAAGGGGGGGATAGGGTGGTAAGTTACGTTTTTACGTCAATTTTTATGTGAGGGGGGGAAAACCCTTTTTAAATTTCAATTGGGGAAATGGTTTGTAAAATTTAAATTTTTAGAATCAAGATTACGGAATTTTTAAACAAAAGGGGGGGGGCGGGGGCCCGGGGGTGTCCCCCGGTGGAGGATTCCCCTTTTTAAAGGGACGAAAAGGGGAAATTTTCCCAAAAACTTTTTTAAATCTGAAATTACGGCCGGGGTTTTGGCGGGGGAAACCCCCGGGGGCGCCCAACCATCAGCTTGTGTGCTGCGAGGACAAAAAGGTAAGGACACCCAAACCGACCCCCAATACCGGGTTTAGCAAGCCCATACCCTTCTTGGGGGTTTTTTAAAGGGGTTAGGTATTGGGGGACCCCAAAGGGAAAATGAGTAAATTTATGCCCAGATAAAGATGGTTTGAGGAATAGGGGAAAAGTAGGGGGGTTTGGGAAATGTAAAAGGTTTTTGGGGAAAGGGGTATGGGTATGTGCGGTGAAAAATTTGGGGAGGGGGTGATGGGAGGCACGGGGTGGGGTTTAAGGGGGGGAGGGGGGGGGGGGAAATTGGGGAGAGCCCTTTAGGGCCCTTGAGGAAGGGAAAGGGCCCCACCCGGGGATCAAAGGTTTTTCCTAGCGAATTTTATGTACACCTTGGGTCGGGGCCTTTTGGGGTTTTTCCTAGAAAGGGGGAAAATTGGGGGGGTTAAAAAGGGGGGAAGGGGGGTTAAATAAGATGGACGGGGAAAAAAAATCCGGGCAACGGGGGGAAAAGGGGGGTTTGGCCCAAAAAGGGAAAAACCCAGCAGATTTAACCCTTCGGGATTACCGACCCCTTTTTTCTTTTGTTTTTTGTTTAAAATTTTTTAAATTTTTATTTTGCAAAAAATTTTTGGGGAACCCCGGTTTAAATGTTTGGGGGGGGAGGGCCCAGGGTTTGGGGCCCCTAAATTTGGGGGTTTTTTACCTTTTTGGTAAATTTAAGCGGGGCCACGGGTTTTATAAAGGGGTTTTTTCCTGGAGAAAAAGGGGAAAAAGGGGGGAAAAAAGGGGCCGTTGGGTGGCGTTTGGCAAGGAGGGGTTTTATAAATGGGGTGGTAAAAGAAAGGTTTTTGGGGTTTTTCCCCTTTGACGGGGGTTTTTTGGGGGAAAAAAAATAGTGGGGGGGGGGGTTTACTTTGTACCAAACCCCAAGGAAAGGGGTTACAAATCAATGGGTGTGTGGGGGGGGGGGTCAAAATGGGGGGGGGTTTTTTCGGCGGGGATCCCCCTTTTATCACAAATTTTGTTTTGCATGTGTTTTTTTTCCCGGGGAACCCTTTTAAAGGATGGTGGGGGAAATAGTTTTAAGGGGAGGGGGGGGGGATGGTGAGCTGAAGACGGGGCCTGGTTTTGGGGGCTTTTTGGATGATACCCCCTATTTTTTGGCAAGTGGGGAGCCCAGGGGTTAGGCCTTTTTGGGGGAAAATTGTACCCCATTTTTTGGGAGAGCTAGGGGATAAAGGAAAAATTCTGGAAAAATTTAAAAATGACCGGGGGCCCGGGGAAAGAGGGGAAGAGAGATTGATTGGGGTTGTAAATGTTGTGCAGGGGAGGAGGGGGAAAAGCCCCTTAAAAATTTTCCCCCTTCCCTGGGGTCATTTTTGGGAGGCTGCCCTTTGATTTGAAAAGGGTTGCAATTCAATGGGGTTGGTTGGAACGGGTTGAGGGGAAGGGTTGGGGAATCCCTCCCGACCCAACCATTTAAAACCCTTTAGGAAAACTTTAAAAATTGTCACCCTTTTTATTACAAAATATAAAAGTCTGGTTTTTTTTTCGGCTTGTTATCCCTTTAAACAGGAAGGCGTTTCACGAGATTCTAAAAATGGTTTTCCCAAATTTTTTGGGGTTTCAGGGGGTTTTGAAA